TTCCCGTGAGGAGATCTTGTGAAGCAAAAGATCCTTGCAAAGAGATTCTTCTGGAGGGATCTTGTGAACCAAATAGCCCGGCGTTCGGACAATGGGCAAAATATTGCCCTGCAGAAAAAGCAACTAGAAGAATGCAGACGTAGCTGACGCAGCATGCTGTGGTGAATTGCGGCCCTTGATGCCATCACCGCGCTCGGTGTCTTAATAAAGATCTTGCGTCGGTTTCGTGGAGAGCATCGCTGCCCACACCACAAGCCACGGGCCCGCCATGGGGCAAAGGCCTGGCACGGCCCTATTGGTAAGGAGGCCCTTGGGCCCAGAGCTTGCCCAGCCAGCCGGCTGAAGCAGATTTTAGCCGCCGCTTTCTGTCCCCGTCCCCGGGGGTAGGGTGGAGGAACGTTTTCGACAAGTATGAACATAATATTGTTTCAGAATCTTCCTTTGCGCTTTTGGTGTTTTCGGGGGTTTGTGGCCGAAACCTGGTCCAACAAAACTTTGGCACATTGGATTTGGCAATGGTTTGTTTGATACCCCCCTGACGAAGAAACAACTCTGTTTGGGATATCTCGGCCGCAACCGAAAAAGCCAAGGCAAAGTAGATTCTGAAAAGATAGGACCTGATGACGTGAGGGCAGATGCGACAAACAGAGGTAGTTTCTCATGTTGTCCTCGAAGTTTGTGATCAGCATGAAGAACACAAATTCAGTGCTCAATATCTGACGTTTTGATCCCAGGGGTGGCAAAAATTTGATAGGATGCTACTAGACACGATGGACAAACGCTCGGAGCGAGACCTGTGCCAGTGGATGGCAAAGATATTGCAAGCTACCCTCAGGTATGCAACATCAATTTCTTCGTTGCGGTGATTGACGCGTGGCTCCAGGACATCAACATGCCGGCCTGCATCAACATTCTGGCAGTGAGCCTGAAGCAGAAGTTGAATCTGGGTCCCATGCAGTTAGTCAAAAGGGCTTGCAACTGCGGCACAATTTGTTGACCCAATCTGTGTGTTTACAGCTGCCGGATTGTTTTCGAAACATTTTTGGGGTGCAAGTTTTGTTATCACCGCTTTGGAACGAAGCGGAAGACACGTTACGCAGATATACCAGACATGTCCTCGGTTCAGTTTAGTTTGGCGTGCATCACTTTGGACATTCCTTTCTGAACATCCAACCGGTATGAACGGTACCTGTAGAATAGAACAGGCAGATGCAGGTACGCAAGGTGGACCAGTATCTCCTGTGTAGGCACCTCTCGAAAGCGCTGCCCTGGACACAAGGTGTTTGGAATGTTGACAGGTGCATGATTGTCTTGTTTTCTTTTTCTTGCTGAATTATATTTGTTTGTTCCGCAGCCGTATCCATCTCCAGCGTCGCCCGCGCTACCCTATAGGTTCGTCGTCCGTCTCTTCCAGCTCGGCATGGCAGGGGCTTGGTCGCAGTCGGGCTATGAGCAAAGCTGGTGGGATGATTCTTGGCAAGCGGCTCCACGCAAGGGTAAGGGCAAGAAGGGCACCAAGAAGGGAGGCAGCAAGCCAAGCAAGGGCAAAGCAGAGTGGGAAGACGATGCAGCACGGGCCGAGGCCTGGCAAGCTTCCGGAACGGCCGGCACGGAACACGTCGGTCGCATCCTGAGCCGCTACCAATTGCCGCACAAGCTCTTGCGGACCGCTGCAGACACCGAGGGGTCGGCCTTCGTCAAAGACAAAGCCAAGATGAACGACTTCGCCTTCCTGGCCGCCCGGAACTTGAAGAAGCTGGTGACGAATCAGAACCATCATCTGCTACGCCGTCCAGGAGTGGGCATCAGCGAGGCAGCTGGGACCTTGCAGGCCGGTGCCAACACCTTGGAGAACTTCAAAGACCTGAAGGTCGAACCTGTGGCCGCCCTCCTCGCGGACAGCAACGGGAAAGAGGCTTTGACGACCTTGAACACCATGGACACCACTGCCACCAGGGACTTGGCGGCTATCGCCGAAGCAATCGAAACACTGCAGAAGGCCATGGGAAAGAGCAAGGAGTTGGAGGAGGCGGCGATCAAGATGACCATCATGGCAAGTCGCCTCTACCTGCTCGGCGTCCATCTGCTGCCTCTCCGTGCCGGCCTGTTGGATCCGGAGTGGTGGGCAGAGCAGGTTCCAGAAAGCCTGTCTGCAAACCGCAAGTTCCAAGCCTGGAGAGCCAGCCCTGCGGACAAGTCCAAGATGCAGCGTGCTTTGGCTGCGTTGATCATGGAGAAGATCGAGGAGTCCAGCGGCGCAGGTGCCAACGACGCCGCCGCGCTCTTTGGCCGCAGCATCGCAGCGGAAGCCGCAGAGAGCAGCTCAGAGAGCAGTCCCAAGGCAGCCAAGAAGGCAAAGAAAGACAAGAAGCACAAGAAGAAGAAGGCCGCAAGTTCCTCTGATACGGCCTCTGCCACTGACAAGAAAGACAAAAAAGCCAGCAAAAAGGACAAGAAGGCCAAGCAGGCCAAGGCGGCTAAGGACAAAAAGGCGAAGAAGCGCTCTTCGAGCCCGAGCCAAGGCAGCACCTCCTTGCAGGCAGCGCCGAAAGCCGCTGAGAAGAAGCGGAAGGACGAGGCAAAGGCAGAATCAGTGACCAGCAGCGCTGAGTTTGTGGACGCGCCCAAGAAGAAGAAAGCAAAGAAAGAGCAGGACGGCAGGGGCGAGAGCAAGAAGCCAGAGAAGCCCGGGGACCGCAGCACCGTCAAGGTGCGCCGGGTCAGCAGCATGACCCCCGATGGTCACATCATCGTGAAAGAGGATGACCGCTACGATGAGGTCGACGTGAAGTCTCCGGAGGGGACGTTGCAAGAGCTGCTCGAGGAGCTGCTGACTGCATCTGGAGACGGTGAAGATTTGAAGAATTGGACGGTGAAGGTGCTCGAAGATGGCAAGTGCAAGCCTGTGGCCATCGACACCACGCCTGCAGCCCTGCACCCGGAAGTGGTCTTGGTGCGCAAGGGCGGATGAGACCATTGCCTGCACAGAAGCATGCCGGGAGAAGATGGCGGCAAAGCAGGAACCACAGAGCTTGCCCCAGAATCTCTGATCCTAAGGAGGCAATGAGAGAACAGCATTGCCCAAGGTAGGGCAGCCGGAGAAGGGATAGACAACGGTCACAGGCGAAAAAGACGCTCCCTCATTGTTTTAGCTGGTAGGCATGTATTGGACAGTTTGAAGCATTATCAAAATCAGTTGCTGTTGTTGCAAAAGTTGATTTGTTCCAGTACGGCTCCAGATTTTAGACGGTGTAGGCGCTCTTCTCTCGTTGCGCCGCAGCAGGATGGTAACTTGGTTTGACTTGGTGGCGGTGTGGGCCATAGTAGAGGAGTTTCTGGGGTGGCTTCCGTGCTTGGCGCTGCACGCGTCACATCGCAGGTGCATCCCAACGCAAGAAAGCATCCATCGGGTGCGACGACAACTGGCGGACTTTGGGCTTCACCTTTCGCCTTACACGCTCTTGCCGCTCTGCCACATGGTTCACGTCTTGGACGCTTTCGTGGCGTTTCTGCGGCGCTTCGACGATTCAACACTTCAAGGGCCATGGTGGCACGGGCATACCCTTCCATGCGTGGAGCGGCGGGTTGCGATCAGGTACCGTCGCCAGGCACCGCCGCGGCGCTGGGGCAGCTCGGTGCGGGGCAGTCCGATCTCCGTTCCAAGGCTGGCAGCGGCATTTCCTCGACAGATCTTTCGACCTGCAATCGAGTTCTTAGAGCACAAATCCATTTACATCGGGTGAGAGCGAGGCGCTACAGCGACTACAATGGCCATGTGGAGGGCATGTTGATCGAAGTCACCTCGCTCTATTGCGTGGTCGCAGGCTTCGAAGTCATGCTGCGGACCACTGCAGAGAGCCAAGGCAGCGGGAGTTCTGACACATTAGGGTGATGGCGAGTGTCATTTTGGTTGTGCTCTGAGCGGCCGGCAGAAACTACAGGTTGGCCCTACAGTGAGCTTTAGACGCAAAGGAGCGTCGCAGGATGGGCAGTAGTGTACAGGCAGCCCATCGCATCCATCCTGCAAAGAGCGACAGAACAGGCTCGATGGGGTCGCAGAGCTAAGCATGCACAGCACAAGCAAACAGACGAAACACACGCCTGAAGTGGTTTTTTGAGCGACCCCTCGAGCGCGACAACGCTACGCTAGAAGCTGCGTGCATCTGCAGTGCACAGGCGCGCCCGGAACAGAGAACACATCGGGCATCGCAGCCTGCATCGTCCTCGACGCAGCCGAAGCAAAAACGTGCAGCGCCAAGAAATGCAGACAACATTGCGACACGTAGCGTAACCAATAGGATCTCGCAGCGCCCGCACACCTGGGTTGCATGTTTATTGAGACCGACCGCATGCGATCTGGACTGCTTTGCTGTTTTTTTCCGCAGCTGTTTGGTTCGAACCCGCGCGCTCTTGAGTTTCTGCGCAGGCTCGGCCGTTGGAACAGTTTGGAACAAAAGCCGTCGTCAGCTGCATTTGTTTTTGTTTATTTGGTACAGCTGTCAGCAGCCAGGAAGGATTGCTCTGTGAAGGCCCAGAAACATCTGTTCACGATTGTTACAATCACAGAAATAACGCACGCACGCGTCTGAAACGGAGCTGTCTCACAAAGATGATTTCAAGTCAGTTTTCCCAGGTCTGGCTCCAGAGACGCTGCGACGGCGGCCCTGCCATGTTGGGTCTGCGGTTGCAAAAAGTCGTACGTTCCATCGACCACCGGTTTGGAGCCATGCCTCATTTTGCTGCAGCAGCTGTAGACATTGCATGCGTCCGATGCCGGTGCCAGTTTTGAGCATAGTGATGATTAGATGTTGCATTCTTTGCCAGTTTCATGTCTCAGCAGCACGGTGTATTTCGTCTTTCTGCAGCTGCTTTTGTAATCAAAATAGCGCGCGTGTCCCCGCCGGGTTGGCAGAAGCGAGCAGGCACGGGACATGTTTGGGGGATGCCAAACCTGCCTTCTTTAGACATGTGACCACCGATGACCAATTCCCGGCAGGCACATGCCGCCGAAGGCCATGAAACGCCCGGCTTGCGACAAGAAACCAGCTGCCAGCAGCGCGGCCTTGCCCAGTCACCCGCAGGGCAAGGACGACCTTGAAGCTTTCATGCCAAGCATTCCATACACATCATAGCTGCACGTTGATTGAACCGCAGCTTTGTAGAGAGATTGTTGCTGGTACCTCTCACCAGGAGATTCCGAAGGCAGCCGACGAAGGAAGCACGTACGGTGCTGCACAGAGATTCGTCCGCAGTCTTTGGGAGCAAGGGCTGACTGAGAAGCAGGCCGGGCTATTTCATTGCAGTGTTTTGTCAGACCAGACATGTCACGTCATGTTGTGCACGTTGCATAGGTGAGGGAACAGCTTCCAGGGCCGGAGATGGAGAAAGAGGTGCGGTCCAACGTTCAAAACAGATTTACTTTATAGGTATAGCCGTTACTTTTCATGATATACCTCTGTCCCGCTGGCGTAGGACGACCAAAGCCCCGAGAATGCAGAGGAGGTGCGGGAAGTCCTGGCCGAGTGGGCCGCCGATGAAGCGCGTGCTGATGAAGCAATTGGCCGCCCGCTGGTGTTTCATGGAGAAGCGGGCCTCCCGCGCCTGCGTGGCAAGCAGCCGCCCATCCGAGGTTGGGAGCATGTGCCTATTCCAGATTGGGCACATCGAGCACAGCAAGAGCAGAGCGGCCACGAAGAGGAGACTGAGGACGCGGCCGTGGAAGAGGCCGCAGAGGCTGATGCCGCCCCGGAAGAAGAGCCCGAACCGAAGCGGGCCCGGAAAGATTCCAGAATCTGCCCGGGCAAGTCTGCAGGAGAGCCTTGCGTGTTTTCGCGAGAGAAGAAATCCATTGGGCGCCCCGCCCGCCTGGCCATGGGCAAGCAACGCTGTCAGTTCTGTGACGTGGCAGCGCTTGCAGCAGCCGCAGCAAACAAACATGGCAAGCGGCACCTCACGGGCGCCTTGAGGACCTGGTCCGAAGCCGGGCGGCAAGACATCGCAGACGCAGCCATGGCACGCATCCCGGAAGAAGCCAGCGGATACTTTGAGCAAGCTTTGCAACGCCCATCCCGAACAGCCCAAGGGAAAGCGGCACAAGCAAAGGCCAAAGCCGAAGCCAGGGACGCAGCCGTGCAGAAGACATTGGATCACCGCCAGTCCCTCGTGCAGGAACCGCGAGAAGAAGAGAGGCGGGTCTACCAAAGGAAAGTGGTGGATGACAGCCGCAGGCTGCAGCGCAAGTTCGGCCCGCTTCTGCAGGCCCGCGAAGAAAAGGATGACACTTGGAGATCGCCTTTGGCAGCTCGGTTTGAGGAGTGGTGCCGCGAGCATTCCTGGGTAGCCTGCCAGAAATGCCACCGTTTGGTGGCAAAGCCCCTGCATGAGAGCCACATCAGCACCAAGCGCCCTCCAGCCCCCACCATCCCGCAGTGCAAGCACTGCGCAGACGGAGTTGGGTACCCAACCGTGTCTCACACAGACATCCCACAGGAGCTGCGCAACCTGTCCGCTGATGCGCTCTGGGCACTTCGGCCGCTGGAGCCCGATGTGGGCCAGAGAGTCGTTGCCAGGCACGGCTATCCAGTTCACACCGACATGATCCGTTTTTGGTGGAGGCCCGCGCAGGTCGTAGACCAATTGGAGCAACTGGAAAATCCAGAGGACCGTGACGTTGCAAAAGCGGCCTACCAGTATCTGATGGCATCAGAAGACAGCTCCTACAAGCAGTTCGTGGCCTGGCATGGCAAGGTCCTGCGGAAGTACGCTGACGTACTGGAAGGTGAATGGGACCGCAAGTTGCAATTGCCCCGACATGCCCTGGAGGAGGTTGGGCTCGAGTGCGCCGTCTGGCCCCACCTGTACCCCAGAACCAACATGTGTGAAACATACATCCGTCAGCAAGATAGCCGCCGCAAAGAGCGTGCAAGGGCAACGCCCCAGGCCGCACGGCAACCGCCTCGCAGCAACAGGGCACCTGCGGACAGCAGCGGCAGCAGCAACAGCAGCAGCAGCAGCAGCACGTCCAGCACTACCACAGAAGAAGCCTTGCCAGAGGGTTCCCAGTGCGAGTCGGAAGACACGGAGACCGAGCCAGAAGACAGCGAGGCCGACGTGGAAGCCGCTGCGCCCTTGGACTTTGCCCGGCATGGCCGCAATTCGGCCAAGAGCGCCTACTTGGCCAAGGTGCTGGGCCCAGTACTGGGCTATGGGGCCACCTATAGCCTTTTCCAGTTCGTTTACGACCTGTGGCTGTGGTCGACTGTGGGTGCAAAGAAGCATTGGGTGGATGCGCCGTTGCGGCTGGCGATGCAGGGCTACGGCTTCTCGCCGGAGTACTGGCAGACGCGGCACGCGGCCTTGGTGGACACAGTCATGCAGCTGGATCAGCTGGGCCTGCCAACCCTGTTCATCACCATCGCCCCATACGAGCGGCTTGGCTTGGCTTAAGGAAACTTTGTCTTTGCCCATATTGCCATATTAGGTTCATCCACGAGTTTTCGTTTTTCCCGGCGGCGTCTGCACTGAAAGGTGGAGTTTTCCATACCACAAATGGGTGGAGGACGAAGCGCAGAAGCTGTTGCGGGGCAAGCTGCAATTGCCAGTTGCAGAAACCCTTCACATCGCACATGTGTTGGCCCAAGCCGTGCAAGGCCTTCTGACGGGAGCCAACAAGCAAGGCCGACACGGTGGTAGGAAGCCCTGGAAAAGCCACATCTTCTCTGCGAAGGACGGCTCTGGTCGCAAGACGGTGATCAACTTCTTCGGGCGCTTGGAGTACCAGGATGGCAAAAGAAAGCAATACGTCAACCAAGAGGAAGCCGCAACTCAGTTCTACCACGGCCGTGGGACGGTCTATTTGCATTTGTTGGTCTGGCTGAAGCACATTGAGGCCGTTAAGCTGGAAGAAAGCATCAGCGCCAGCGTTCCGCAAGACAACCCTGTCATGGCGAACCTGGTGGAAGACTCCCAGAGATCTTGGACAGGCAGCGGCTGGGAAAAGGAAAGCAAAGAGTCTTATTTCGATGCAGCGACCGGTAGGCTGCATCTGCACCACTCAGACAGCGACCACTGCAAGCGGAAGCCCGACGGAACTCCCGAGGGCATCCGGGCCTACATCATCGATGTGCTGGCGGCTTTGTTTTGCCACGTAGATGTGCAGATGTCGGACGGCCGCATGCTGCTTCTGCGGTATGTGTCTGGCTATGTGCCGAAGTTTTCCGATAGCTTCACGACGGATTGGCTCAGCGACCAGGGCAGCGCCTACGCCATTGCCAAGCGAGTGCTGTCCGACTATCACCCCTTGTTCCCAGAGATGACCCTGCAGCTTGCTATGCAGTGGTTCCCGCAGTGCTTCGCCGGCGGCTGCCTGCAACGCTTTCGCGTCCCTGTCCCGGGCGAAGCGGCCGAGGCTCCCAAGCGGGTGGTGCAGCACCTGAACGAACAATAATACCACGGTTTCTTTTGTTCGGCCTCACACGTTTTTTGGCCCAAACACGGCCATAGACGGGGCAAAACCAATGCGAAGTTGTAGGGTTGTTTCGATCCAGAGATCAGACGGCTCCCCAGGTACATGCGCTCCAGCTGGCGTGCACAGGACATGCCCTTGGTGGAATTCCTGCGGAAGCCCGGCGTCAACGGCGGCATCCACCCCAACCTCAAGAAGCGCTACAACCAAGCTCTGAAAGAGGCCGAGGGAGGCGAGCTCTTGGAGGAATCTTTGGAGGCTTGGGCAAACAATGCCGAGACCTATGGCGAGGTGGCGCTGGCAGCACTGTACTTGTCCCGATACAACGACCGCTACTATGGCCAGTGGGTTCTGATGAACGTTTCGTTCAGGAGCTTGGAGGGCTTGATGCCCGAGGGGTTGGACAGGGTTCCGGATCACTTATACTACCAGACCATGGCCTTTCTGCTTCGCAGAAACCACTGGGAGAACCCGGCAGCCGTCCGAGCGGAACTGGAGCTGCAAGCTTTCCGAGACTACCACGTCAAGAACATCCTGGCCATGCTGGCCGCCAACCAGGGGCTCATCAAGAAGTACCTGGGACTCCCAGCGTGGTAATTTTTGTCGCCGCCCGTTTGGAAGCCAAAGAATGTAGTCCCAGAAGCAAAAACGTAATCGGAAGTAAAAAGCGTGCCGATCTATTTTAATGCATCGGCTAGAAAATTTCATGTAGGCAGTTTCCGGGGAATTCTACGATTGATTTGGGCAACCACAGGCATCACAGACCCAAACGTGGCCGACATATATTGACATACCGAACACGTAATGTTATAGCCTCAAAGAGCACAATATATCTGTTGCAAACTAATATGTTTTTCCTGAAACGATTCTCGTTCTGCATGCCTCTGGCTTTCCAGGTACCTGGACGGCACGATCGACAAAGCAGCTGAAATCCCAGGAGAATTTGCCGCGCCGGCAGCCGATGGGGAAGGGCCGGCCTTGTCCAGGCAGCAGCAGCAGATCTGCGATGAGATCTTGGACAGCGTCAGGGCTGGGCTGCGGCAGCGCCGACAAGAGGAGAACGCCTGGAAGGGCGAAGGGGGGCCAGAAGATGTTGCTGAAGAGGGGGAAGGGCAAGAAGAAGCAAATCCATTTCCACCTGCAGCAGCGCTTCGGCCGGCCATTGCTGTCCTGGGCCCCGCAGGCAGTGGCAAGACCACGGCCGTCCACAAAGCCATCCGAGAAGCGACTCAGCACGGCTGCCGCGTCCTGCTGGCAGCGCCCACCGGGCGGCTGGCTGCCACCATGCGGGAGAAGTTCCCGGACCTAGAGGTTGACACGGTGCATGGGGCCTTCCTGGTTTACAAGCCTGTGCATGAGACCCTGGAGATCATGTTACCCTATGATTTGGTTGTGGTCGAGGAGGTGGGCCAGCTGTCCCAGCGCATCTTCGAGCGGATCATGGAGCAATGGCAGGCCGCTGAAAGGCTTCCGACGCTGGTCTTCGTGGGCGACTTCTACCAGTTGCCGGGGCCGGAGAGCAGCAGCGCCCTCGACGCGGGAATGTGGCATAGCGTCATGGTCAAGAAGCGGGAGCTGCACACCATGTTGCGCTGCAAGTGCGACAAGCTGCGCAAGACTTTGGACTGCCTTCGCACCAACAAGCCGAGCAAGGCCCAGCTCCGAGAGATCAAGGCCGGCCACAAAGCCCCGTCCTTTGGCCGGGCAGGCTACGTCATGAACGAAGTGCCGAGCTTGGAGGATGTGGGGCACATCTTTGAAGAGACCCCGGACACCATGTTCCTCACCATCAGCCGGAAGGCCGCAGCCTATCTGAATGACCTGGCGGTGCAAGTGAAGTTTGGTGGAGCTGCCCCCTTGCAAGTGGTGCCCGCAGACCCCGAGAGCAACGTTGCCAACTACCATAAAGGCAGGATGGTCGCAGAGGTGCCATTGCAAGTGCCCATCTACCAGGGCGCCTACATCATCCTGACGAAGAACCTGAATAAGGCCGTGGGCTTCGTGAACGGGATGGGGGCAACCGTCCTGGGGATGGACGGCAACAACGTGCTGGTGAAGACCGACCAGGACGGATCTTGGCCATCCATCCGTGGACCTCGGAGAACCATGTCGTGCACTACCCTCTGCGCTTGGGGTACGCCAGCACCCTCCACAAAGTCCAGGGGGCGACGCTGAAGCACATTACGGTCTGGCTGGACATCAACAATTTCCCTGCAGCAGCCTACGTAGCCTTGAGCAGGGTGGAGTACGACGCCAATTGGCGGTTCGTAGTCAACCCCGGGGTGCATCATCTCACGCCAGCCAAGTTCGGCCCTTCCATGTATAGCCGCTGGGCGTAGAGCAGTAGTGCGGAAGCTGTACAGAAAGTGGCGTCGCAAGGGCAGCACCAAATAGCACAGGCATGCCCGGACGAGGGCCCGGATCCTGGCACAGCTGGGCGCCTTCGTTCGAAGGATGTGAGACGACGCGACCGGTCGAGAAAAGAGAGCCCCTCTTGTCCACTTGGTTTTGTTCTGCCTGTAAGCCCAATCCTGTGTTACCCCCAGCTGTCTCAGCGCAGGCACTCTGGACTACGTCCCGTTCATCGTGGAGGTGGCCCTGGAGCGCGTCGTCACGGTCGTGCTCGAGGCGGGCTGCGGCGCCTTAAATACGCAGAGGTTTTTCCCTCTTGGCGGTGCTTACCTTGTCGCGGTGGGAGGGCGGGGAAGCCAAAAGCACCGGGAATAGCAGGGCTTAAGTATGGGGCGCGGAGGCGCGCTGAGGGCTGGCTGGGAAGCGCGCTGAGGGCTAGCTTGGGCGGCGCGCCGAGGGCTTTGCCACCGGTGTTTTGGGGTATTGACCTTCCTCATAGAAGGTCCCTATGTGGGACCATAGCAAATGATTGGCATGGCAGGACGCCATCCTCTGGGCAGAGCCTTGAGTAGCACTAAGCAGTGCTATAGGGCCCTAGGGGCCCAAGTTGACCACTCTCCAATGGCTCCACCCATTGTCTTTGACTCGAGACGTGGAGTATGGCTGCCGGGCATCTTCAGTGTCTGGCCACCCTTGAAGTGGGTGGGAACGGCCTAAGCAGGCCTGGGTGGGAATTTAGGGTTTAGGGTTTAGGGTTTTAGGGTCCGCCAACACAGGTTGGCGCCCAAGCCAAAGCCCACGAATAATTTTAGCACGAAATCGAAATGATAATGCGCAAAAACTTCTTTCCTTTATTAGGGGGAGGTGGACCCTAATACTTCAACCTGGGGGGGTCAGACCCTAATGCTTCAACCTGGCGCGTCCTGGGCCCCTAAAGCTTGAATCTATTAAGTATTGGTCAATTTATTTAAGTCTAGGCGGTCACAAGCTTGAAATTTACTGAGAATCTGAGGCCTTGAAGCCCTGGTTCTGCCAATTTTTATACTTAGCGCCTTTCGCCTTAAGGGAACCCCCCTCAAGGCCCCCAAGGGACCCCAAGGACCCAAGGACCCCAAGGGACCCCAGGGACCCCAAGGCCCAAACCCCAGGGACCCAAGGACCCACAAGGACACCTTACGGGACCCAAGGGCCCCCCCAAAACACCCAAGGACCCAAGGACCCCAAGGACCCCAAGGACCCCAAGGACCCTAAGGACCCCAAGGACCCCAAGGACCCACCTTAAGGACCCCAAGGGCCCCCTTAAGGATTCCCTTGGAATCCCCTTAAGGACCCCGAGGACCCCCAAGGACCCACCTTAAAGGACCCCAAGGGCCCCTTTAAGGACCCCAAGGGCCCCCGGACCCAAAGCAGACCTTAAAGATTTTAAGAGCCCCAAGGACTTTAAGCCCGCCCGAAGGAACCTGAGCCAAGGGCACCCTACGTCCCCAAGGACCCAATAGCATAAGGTCCCCAATCACCCCAAAGACCAACCCAAGGATCCCAAAGACCCTGATGAACTGCAAGGCCCTAATTTGATCGAGCCAAAGACTTATGGCAGCAGCAGCGATCTCCTGCCATCAATCTTTGAATCACCTGCTAGAAGTGGCTGTGGTTTCAATTACTCCCCAATCCTCCCCCACATCCACCATCCCCACCAGTGGTGCTCATCAGCCCCTGGGGTCCACTGATAGGTCAGGACATGGGATCCACAGAAAGGGGGGTCCCAGGGGGACCACAGCCACCAGCCAACCAACCAACCAGCCAACCAAGCAACCAAGCAGCCAAGCAACCAAGCAACCAAGCAACCAAGCAACCAACCAAGCAACCAAGCAACCAACCAACTAACCAACCAACCAAGGAACCAGCCAAGGAACCAAATGAGGAACCAAGCAGCCAAGCAACCAAGCCACCAACTAACCAACCAACTAAGCAACCAACAAACCAACCAACAACGAACCAACCAACAAACCGACCAACAAACCAACCAAGCAACCAAGCAACCAAGCAAAAAACCAAGCAACTAAGGAACCAAGCAACCAAGCAACCAAGCAACTAATCGAACATTGATTGCGCGCCAAGCCCTAGAAATGAAGCAGAAACTGAAGAGGCCCACAACGAGTTGCAAAGCAAGAAGGGCGCCAAAATTCGAGAGGCCGCGTTGAAAGTTAGAAATTTAACAACTTAACAACTCTAAAGAAAACACATTCAGGTCGCGCAAATGCCACACCTGAGTCCACAAATGCCCAAATTGAGACTCGAAAATGTCGAAGCATAGCAATGGAACCCAAAAAAAGCGCCACAGTCAGAAAGCCTCTGCGTCCCCATGCCTGTGGCAATGTCGCCGGCGTTGGCTGCAGGTCAGTAGGCGCAGTGCCTCCCAGTGACAACACACATATGCTGAAATGATGTTTTCAATTCTCTTCATTCCCAAAGTGAATCAGGTTAAAATGTGGCTTCTCGCATGTTTGTAGCATTGCCTTGATCATCTATATGGTGATCCCTGATTTCACGAATTCGGTTTGGAAGCAGCGAGACAACCTCAGCACCGAGCCTGCTTTACCAGGATGTCACACCAATGATCTTTGCGCAAGTGCTTCAGCAGCTTTGAATCGCTAGCTCCTAGCGCGCGGCGATCAAACAGAAACCTTTTGTTTGCAGCCGTGTGCCAAATAACAATGTTGCTAATGAGGGCATGGCCTTGGCATATGACCCTAATGGTTCAACCTGGCGGGGTCACACCCTAATGGTTCAACCTGGCGCGTCCAAGGACCCCCCCAAGGACCCCCCCAAGGAGCCCCCAAAAACACCGCAAGGACAAGGACCACCAAGGACCCCCCAAGCACCCCCCCTTAAGGATCCCAAGGGCCCCCGTCAGGACCCCAAGGACCCCAAGGACCCACCTTAAGGACCCAAGGGCCCCCTTAAGGACCCCAAGGACCCCAAGGACCCACCTTAAGGACCCCAAGGGCCCCCCAAAGCAGACCTTAAAGATTTTAAGAGCCCCAAGGACTTTAAGCCCGCCCGAAGGAACCTGAGCCAAGGGCACCCTACGTCCCCAAGGACCCAATAGCATAAGGTCCCCAATCACCACAAAGACCAACCCAAGGATCCCAAAGACCCTGATGAACTGCAAGGCCCTAATTTGATCGAGCCAAAGACTTATGGCAGCAGCAGCGAACTCCTGCCATCAATCTTTGAATCACCTGCTAGAAGTGGCTGTGGTTTCAATTACTCCCCAATCCTCCCCCACATCCACCATCCCCACCAGTGGTGCTCATCAGCGCCTGGGGTCCACTGATAGGTCAGGACATGGGATCCACAGAAAGGGGGGTCCCAGGGGGACCACAGCCACCAGCCAACCAACCAACCAGCCAACCAAGCAACCAAGCAGCCAAGCAACCAAGCAACCAAGCAACCAAGCAACCAAGCAACCAACCAAGCAACCAAGCAACCAACCAACTAACCAACCAACCAAGGAACCAGCCAAGGAACCAAATGAGGAACCAAGCAGCCAAGCAACCAAGCCACCAACTAACCAACCAACTAAGCAACCAACAAACCAACCAACAACGAACCAACCAACAAACCGACCAACAAACCAACCAAGCAACCAAGCAACCAAGCAAAAAACCAAGCAACCAAGCAACCAAGCAACTAATCGAACATTGATTGCGCGCCAAGCCCTAGAAATGAAGCAGAAACTGAAGAGGCCCACAACGAGTTGCAAAGCAAGAAGGGCGCCAAAATTCGAGAGGCCGCGTTGAAAGTTAGAAATTTAACAACTTAACAACTCTAAAGAAAACACATTCAGGTCGCGCAAATGCCACACCTGAGTCCACAAATGCCCAAATTGAGACTCGAAAATGTCGAAGCATAGCAATGGAACCCAAAAAAAGCGCCACAGTCAGAAAGCCTCTGCGTCCCCATGCCTGTGGCAATGTCGCCGGCGTTGGCTGCAGGTCAGTAGGCGCAGTGCCTCCCAGTGACAACACACATATGCTGAAATGATGTTTTCAATTCTCTTCATTCCCAAAGTGAATCAGGTTAAAATGTGGCTTCTCGCATGTTTGTAGCATTGCCTTGATCATCTATATGGCGATCCCTGATTTCACGAATTCGGTTTGGAAGCAGCGAGACAACCTCGGCACCGAGCCTGCTTTACCAGGATGTCAAACCAATGATCTTTGCGCAAGTGGTTCAGCAGCTTTGAATCGCTAGCTCCTTGCGCGCGCCGATCAAACAGAAACCTTTTGTTTGCAGCCGTGTGCCAGATAACAATGTTGCTAATGAGGGCATGGCCTTGGCGTATGTATTGTTTACCGCGCGTCCTCATGTCCTGCTATAAGCAGTTTTTCTCCAAGCCGTTTGATGCAGATCTTAAACGGCCAAAGGTAGTGACAAGGACGATTTGAGCATGCATGAGCAACAAAGTCTCGTGGAGTTGCTTCCGGTCGTCTATTTGCCATTATATATTTCATAGCTTGCCATGTTTGTGTTGAGAAGCCACCATGTTTGTGTTGAGAAGCCACCGCAAGGTTCCGCTGTGAATTTATACTGTGTCAAACACGGCCTACCCTAGAGTTCAGCTATAAATGTAGGCTATGATCAAACCCGGGCTGTCCAAAAAAAAGCATCTGCCAAGTATTCCAGCATACCGCGACCTGCTTGTTTTTTTTCAGCTCACGCAAGCGCGCAGTCAGCTCAGCGCAAAGCCCGGGCAACACTGAAGGCGGGTAATGTAGATGATGCTGCCATGCTGCACTTGCCTCAAGCCTTCCGGCAAT